CACACACACACACACACACACACACACACACACATTATATAGTCAGGTCTTTCCCATCTTTGTGGGGTCGACCTCCTATTGTTTGTCCTGCTTTCTCTTGTTTGTTTCAGTTGAGTTAGCTCCATTTTTCCCACCATGACTTTCTGTATTCTCCTGCCAGCTTTGTGCAGGGTGTTTTATTTTTAGAAGTTCTTTTTTTTTTTTTGCATCCTGAAACTTTGTTTCCTGAATTTCTATCCTCTCTCTGGCAGCTTCTGTCATAGTTACTTATATTTTCTAGTATTTTCTTTCCACTTTAAGAAGTATCAACATATTCCAAAAATACAAATAAATCTTTGTGTTCCAAACAATAACTGAACACATGCATCAATGGCAAATATTATTACCAGTTTAACATTTACAGCAATAATTCACCAATAATTACTCAAATATGGCACAGTCTTCATAAAGAAGTCAAAGCCACAGTAACTGACAGAGACACTGGGTCCTGTGTAACACTTTGAGATAAAATCTTCTGTCAAAAAAGCAAAAAATGAAATATAATAAAATAAAAAACTGAGGAAAAGAGAAATACAGACAGTGCTTTGGAGAAAACAGGAACCTTAAATAAGTCGAACAAAATAAATAGTTTGTTTTGTAACAGTTGTACCAGCTCAGTGAATACAGACTGACAGGAGTTTAAGCTGCACTGGGGTCAACGGTTCATGTAAGTCACTGAAATTGAACCGCATGTGTGCATGGATATAGCCAACAGGGTTGCACAAAAGATGTGGGGGTCGAACAACGTAACATTAAGCCCTTTATCTTTAAACGTGACTAACAAACAGTGACAAAGAGACACACAGAGGCACACAGAGTCAACACACAACGATTAAGAAAACAGTGGAAATCCTCGGTCATGCTGTGCCCAAGGAAAATGCCACTTCACATGTTGTTTTCTTCTTCGTATATGAAATCATACAAACACACACACTTGCACACACAACTGCAGAACACAGGGTTTAAATGATTTGCTGATAGCACTGCCTGCTTGAGTGAGCTACAGTACATGGAGTAACAGTCAAGTCTCTGTTAGAACAAAACAACCAGACCAAACCAACACACAAAGGTGCTGCCAAGTTACAATGCTCATGAAAAAAGACGAAAACAAACAGATACATAATGACGATCACTTTTTGTTGCATGTACAAGCTCACCATTAGCTGTTTCGAAAATAGTTTAAACCTAAAAATACCTCTTAAGTAATAAATGAAGAAAGTAAACTAGGATTACAAGATTTGCTGTCTTTTGTAAAATAGTAGGAGACATTAATGATGTTTGAACAAAATCTTAACACAGTGTCGACCAGAGCTAAGCCATGCTTTGAAGTACTGCTAAGATATTATGTAGTGACTTTTCTATCTGACAGAACATTAATACTACTGCTGCAAACAATTTTGTTTCTGCATTGGATGCATACCAACTTGGGATTCAGATTAAAACTTAAATCTAACCAAAAAAAAACATTTTTACACTTCTGGTTTATGCACAATTACAATCTTGTGCAAAAAACAGGATTTGTGAAATCAGGGATGCTGCCCCCACAGACCATCTCTCTCTGCCTGGTGTGTGCAGCACATTTTTGGCAACATTTAAAATACGATTCGGTTATTGAAAAACACAGGTAGCGGTTTTCAATGGATTTTAAATGAACACGCCACATTGGTTTTACCTTGGTTTGACTTGCACATCAAACTGTGCTCGATTTTCAACCTTTTGAATGGGTTTTCCCGTAATCACTAGAGTATACACAGTGAGCACTTCAGTCACTGCTGCTACTGATATGCTGCTAGCATGCTATTTACACCACTTATCCTGTGCAGCTTCTTTTAACTTTGCAGCTATAACAATGATGTTAGGGATCTAACAAAAATCTAATGATGTAGAAAAGTAATTCTGACAGGGAAAAGCACATCACTGCAGCATATTGTAGAATATTACAAGTAATGATGAACTAATGAGCTAATAATTGTGACAGGACTTTATTCTTTTGACTCTGTGTCATAATCCTGGAGCTTTGACCTCCAGCTGTGTCCTCTCTCCCTAATTACCTCATGTGTGTATTTAAGCTTTCAGTTTTTCTCAGCGCCTCTCGCATTTTACTATTTCCCTCCTAAATATTTCCCCCATGTGGCAGACTAGCTTTTCAGTTTATGCTCTAATTAAGGTTGTTCAGAAGTCTGTGTTTGAGGACTGGATTTTCCACTAAACGTGACACTCTGTGGTTTTAAATGAAAACATTAAGAGGAGGTATGGCTCACAAAGCCAGGTTTTGAGTTTGGAAGCAACTGTTTTGTTTAGTGATCACGCTCCATCCACTGGGACAGACTCAGCAGAGAGAATCTATTTTCTGTTCTGTCCCCTGAATCCAGCAGAACTCGGGCCCTTCCCTCTAAACAAGCATTTCGGGTGAGAAACAATGTATATTCACAAAGACTGAAACAGCCATGAGGAGCGGAGAGAAGAAAAAGGAAAGACCACCAAGATCCATCACACTCCAGCTTCTCCATGTTTAATGACTCCTTGAAGCTGAGAGAGAACCAAAGAATACCTACGATGGCCTATTTTCCTGTCTCAGTCTAGCCGCAGAGGACCAGCCCTTTCATTTCAGAGCAAAAGACAAAAGACAGTAGGTTTAGGAACGGTTTCATCATGAAGGGCATCAGACGTAAAACTGCCAGTTACATGCTGTGAACAGGGAGCAGCCGAAAGTAGCTTGTATACTGTACATGAATTAATCTTGTGTGTGTCTTTGTTTGTGTGTGTGCATGGATGGCATGGATAAGTGCGTTCCAGAATCAAAAACAATGTAGGTAACACAACTAAAGTTTTACAAATATTGATGCCATGTACTGTACATGTATTTCTGTTCCCAGTTTCTTCACAGCTACAAAATAGAGGAGAGCTGATGATACAGAATGCACCAGAGACACC